TGGAGATGTAGCAACACAAAACCCTCTTTCAAACATATGTTATCTTGGAGGAATCTTTCCAAGGGATAGGCTTTCTGAGAAACGTTTATGACTTTTGAATACACGATAGGCATGAACTTGACACGACCTACTTTGGCCAAGCCCTGGGCTTCAGCCCTGGTCTTTTACCACCACAAATCAAACAGTCTGTCTGAAGCACAGTCAGAGTGATATCTTCACTGAGATGACAGGGTTACAGCACATACCAGCTTGAGAAAAAACAGGATGTGGAGCACTTTGCTCTCAGCATTTAAAAATTCAAAAATATTTTTACTAAAGCCAGAGTAAAATGGCTATGTTCTACCCATACACAAAAGCCAACATAATGCCTGGGATGGTTAAAATGGTCAATACATCATTGAAATGAGAGCACTGACATCCTGATATTACACTCAGCTCCCTCCTTTATCTTGGCATTGGGAAATGTAAGGAAAAGCAGGGCACATAAAGGCTTTCTACTAAATATCCTAGATACAAGAGTTGAATTTTCCTCCTGACTTTCCACAACATCATGCTGCAGGGTTTGGTGTCACCCTGTCTCAGCCCTCACACTATCCTCTCAGCTTCATCTCCTACCAATGTAATGCCAAATTGTCAAATTACACTGACTTTTGAATTTGTTCTTATTTAATTAATTACTATGGTGTTGGAGAAATTGGATAAAAGGTGGCACATGTTTCCAAGGACTGAGACACCTGTCAAAGGGTACCTGTTTCTAAAGGCCCTCTCCTCAGCATGCCACTGAACAGCACTAATTATGTTACGGATAAAACTATAATCACTGACATAATTGAAAAACAACCAAAGCATCCACAGCATATGCAGTCCTCAGGAGCATTCACTGCTGGGAAGGGAGGAAGCCTAAACATTCAGGAGGGAGATAGTCTCTGTGACGTCTCACTGCACCACTTTCCTTTCTTCCTGGGATATTCCATATATAAGGAACCATTCACCTGGCCACTCTCATAGCCCTACTGCAGCAAAGCCACGAGTGGGTTTCCAGAAAAGGGGCTACAGATGCAGGCATGGCGTGGTGACACATATGGCCTGTGTCATGCTCTAGGTCACTCTAGATGATCAGAATGACCTTGTGCTCTGCGATAGGCCTCTGATTGCAATTCTTCTGCTAGTCATAATTAAGGAAATTCTATTACACAGTTCAGATACAATTACAGTTGTAGTACAAACCAATTCAAAATTAATCTAAATATAATGGTAAAATTTCTCCTACCCAATTGAATAATTACTGCAATACAACTCCAGTAGGGCAAAGATCAGGAACATTTCATGTGAATATCATTCAGAAACTGGCATTTTAAAATTGTATTGCTCAATCATACGACACACATCACAGAAACAGATCCACTACAAAAAGCGAATATAGAGGAGTTGAGCTGAGAATCACTAAAACCATATTTTTAAAATTAAGAACCACCACATTATTACATATAATCATTTTCCTTTCACACTAATTTGGTTTAATCTATTTGTGCCCCTTATAAAACATTACACTAAATTTTAATCATAACATTGTTTTCTTTAAATATGTGCATTTCAGAAGTGACACTTGCATGTACAAATTTAGTGAGTTAAAAATGTTAGACTGATGCTAGAACTGAGCAGTCATTTATTCAGAAAAAAAATTGCCTTGTTTTCCTGTCTGTAAATTTTCTACAGAAAGCTATTATTTTTTGCAGTGTATTCATTATTTAACATATTAGTTGAATAGTCCTACAGAGACTTCTCTGCTTTTGAATCATTCACAGCCTGTTAGTTCCAATTATTTCACATTTGAAATTTGAACCCCAGTCCTTTGTTTTTATTGGACATAGAGTTTACATGAACTGATGCTGTTCTCCAGTTGAACAAATGTGACCAGATTGCAGATGGAATAAGTTTTGTATGCAGCGTCAGCAGTTCACGTCTGTGTTTCAACAGGAGTAAATTCCTTTGCTAGAATACAAGACCAGTGTGAGCACAAGCTGAAAGTCATCTTAGAATAATTCTGAAGAAGCACACCCATCTTATAAAGACCATTATTCCACAACTTTCGATATCCACGTAAGCACACGCTACCTTCTTTTGCCAAGCCTATGCAGTTATGTTCCCTTCTAGAAAGACAAATTCCAAAAAAAAAAAAAAAAAAAAAATTTCTGAAGGAGCACGTTTCCTAAGGTGTGCCATACTTCAGAGTTGTCCACCTAGCTGTTATAGGGATGAAGTTATGGACCTGGAAAGCACAGCTCCCCGGAAGAGCCGTATGAGTGAGTTGCCGCCTGTCCCTCCCCATCTTAATGGCAGTCTGAACATCACAAAACTACCAGGACTTCTGGACAGTGCCCTGTAATTCTCTACTCCTGTGAGGCTTAGGAAAGCAAGGCTGACAGCAGCCTTCAGTCCTCTGAGGCTAGGTAATATGAAAATCAAAGTATTTATACAGTGGACAGGGTGAGAGGCAAGCAAACAGGCAGTAGTAAATAAGAAAAAAAATCCAAAACAGTTGAAAGGAACTTTATAGGGAGTGAGAAGTGCCCTAGAGTGGTCATTAGCTGCACTGCAAGGAATGAGAGACATCAAAAAAGGGGAACATTTGCTGCAGATATTATGAGGTGGGAAGGATTGGAGGAGGCTGTTACTCTTGAAAGTATTTAATGAACTGGCAGACGGCCCTGTGGTCAGGACACAGGAAATGCAAGTCCCACTTCTGCTGCAGACCTCCTGCGTGGGATCTGAGAAGTCATGCTGGTGTCTGAGATCACCAGCAGGAGCCAGGCAGACCTGGCACGGTGGGCACTGGGGCGGCCAGTGGTAAAGAAGCTATCAAAATCAATGGAAGATGTCCATTCCAGTATGGGAATTCCTCCACGCCTCCTCTTGCATAAAGCCATCCAAAATGGGCAAGAACATCTGCTTTTGTTTTCACAGTCAAAGCTGACACTGGAGGAGATATGCACATTTGGGAGGGGAGCACATTCCACAGTGGAGCTCTTTGTAATACAGACAATACAAGACCGTCCTGGGAACATTGTTATTTGGTGAAAAATTACTGTATTCAAGAGGACAAGGCTGCCTGTGAAGGTGGCAGAAGGTGGTGTACTGAAATAGCCGAGGGCCCCTCTTGGCAGCTGGGTGGCAAGGCAAATCACCCAAGTGCACGGCAGAAGGGTGGCTTCTAGTCAACATTCAGTGGCCTAACACTGACACAACAGTCCCTGCTTCCCTCCTTCGTTCCTGTGGACATTTCAGGGACTTAGTTGCTCCATTTCTCCTTCAGCAAAACTATGGATTAATATAAAGGTGCAACGAGCTCCCAGAGCACGCTAGTCTTCAGACTCGTTCTCTGGTTTTGTGTGTACAAAGACAAATATTTTTCAATGAAATTGCACCAAATGTGAGCTTAGGGCTAGTCAAAGTACTTTGATGGGAAACTAGGAAAATCTTTCACCACAGTTAGTGTTTGGAAAGAAATTGTCGATGGAAGTGCTTAAACGTGAATGCAACCTATCTGCAAGTTATAGAGATGTTTAGCAGAAAGATGGAAAACTTCAGGTTTGCTGTCCTGGACTGTTCTACCCCAAACCACCACTCTAATCATTTAAGCAAAGGACACTCAGCAGTCAGTGGCAGAGCAAGACTCATTGACTACAACTTCACCCACGTCCTAGACAGATGCTTCTGTTCTAAAGCTGCATGAGTTGACAGACTTCCTAATATCTCTGTAATGCAGATGCCTGACTAATTTTTAGAACATAGAAAAAAATATATGTATATATTAAACAATTTCTGAAAACAGAACTCTGGTAAAAATAGAATTCCTATTTGCCTCTTAAAAATCCTCACAACAGTTCAAATCAATAGCTAACACAAGGAACCACTATTTCAAAAGAAACCTAGCACATGGGAACAGAGTAATTCCAGAGATAAACTGATGCCTAAAGAAAGTGTTTCTCTTTGTAATTAAAGTACTTACTTCACAATTAGAAATGGGATAGTTCTTGGAGGGAACAGAGAGGAGAAGAATGCAAATGAAACAAGCTATTAAAAATATATATTAATGTTCATACGAATGGCAGCTGGAATCATTATAACTTACTCATGCAGATTTTTTCTACCATGAGCATTTGTTATCAGGACAAGTATGGCTGGTAACTACCATTGGAAAGAACCAAAATACTCCTGACAGAGTTTCTCCTGTTGAAGCTGACAATTAAGAGCTAACCAGTGAATAAGATTTTGCATGACCAATTCTATTCAGCTCAGTTTGTTGAGTAAATTATAAAAGACAAATCAGATAAAGTATATTTAAGCAAGTCCTAGTTACATAGTTAAAGGAAAGGTTCAGCATACTAAATCCATAACTTGTTTCTATACCTACTGAGTAGCTACATTTCATAGCATTGCCTCTTTCCATTTGAAAGTCGACCGCTCGTGCCGGCATATCAAAGACCAGGCTGTTTCATTGCGGTGGTAACAGTGTCTAGAATTCCAGATAGTAGTATGAACTTTCCCACTTCCTATGGAAAAAAAATCTTTAAAAATATAATCATGAAGTTTTAACTGACTGTCTGACATACCTAGAAAGAAGGGTTGAGTAGTCAGGTCAAAATAAGCCTACTGAGCCTAGTAGTCTGCAAAAGCTTTCGCTTTCAATTTGCCATAATAATATAAAACTTTATTTAAGAAGCACAGCTTCAAAATCATTGTCTGAGCCACAACACAGGACTTTCGTGAGCCAGTGGACTGCGGCTGTTTAGATTACAACAGTATTCCCAAGTCCAGCCACGGCCTCTGCTGTGGTAAAGCACATAAACACACAAGAGAAAGACAGTATCTTCCCCAAAAAGCTTACTGTTCCAACTGCGGGCAAGCTTTGTGAGGGCGTAAGGGAAGGTGAGAGGAAGAGAGGGCGACCTCAGAAATGTCTGTGGCTCATGGTGAACATCTGCCCTCCACCTTTCAGGATGGCCTGGGACTCCCCATGCAGCGGGGACTTACTGCGCCCCAAGATAAGGAGTGCCTCAAGCCGGACGTCCGGTAGCCGGAGCAGCGCCAGAACGCCGTCCCTGCAGGAGCTGCGGCGCCTGCTCTGGACACGCACACATCCCACCGGGCACGTGGATGAAGTCTGGCCAAACCTTTACGTGGGAGACCTGTAAGAGAGAGGGAAGGGTTGAAGTTGTTAATGCAACTCTTAGCCCCCAACTTATTTCCCCCAAAATCTACCACTCTCTATTTAAAAAAGAGCTAGGCTCTTTTTGGGGACCCCTCACAGTAAGTCTAAGTGTTCAGCAAGGCTGAACCATACATAGGATGCTGTAGCACAGAAAAAAGGCATCCTAAGTATCCAAAAAGAATATTTCCCCCTTCCGATTTCTCATCCTGCATTAGTATGGAAGTCCCACACTGCAAGAGCCTGGTGGGGCCATGGCAATGGTACTGCAGGCAGTCATGCCAGAGCTAGGTAAAACAGGATCAACCTTGTTTTCTCCTCACGTTGCCAGACGGCATCAGTCCTCTGAACTGACAGATGCTCAGCAGAGGTGACTTGGTGAGAAAGCAAACCAGAAAACTCTTGGCTTGTGCAGAAATACCACCACCACAACCTTTTTATTTTCCATCGTTTGAGAAGAACAACCTAAACTGATGTTTGGGACAAAAATGCAGGAAATATAAAAGTCAGTTTCTTAACAAGTCACTCTTGTCTTGAAGCATTTTGGTGGACACTTTGGACCTGATCAGCCTGCCAGAAAATAGCCACTACAACTTCATGCGGTTTTAACAAACTGCACCATCAGCAGCATGTTCTACTCCACATCATAATGCAGAAGGCAAACGTAACCCACTGTCCTTCTTCCAGGTATGTCGCTCGTGACAAAGTACAGCTGAGCCAAATGGGCATCTCCCATGTTGTGAATGCTGCTGCTGGGCAATTTCGCGTTGACACCGGACCCAAGTTCTACAAAGACCTGTCTGTGGATTACTATGGAGTAGAAGCAGAGGACAACCCAAACTTTGATCTCAGCATTTACTTCTACCCAGTTGCTCGATACATAAGAGCAGCACTGAATTCCCCAAGAGGTAACTAGACCACCTGTGCATGTTGCATACCTTCTGCATAGGAGCCAAGTAGGGCAAGTTATCAAATAGTATTTGGCATAAACCAACCACCTGCAGATGTGGGCAAGAATGGAGATACCCAAACTGAGTAGCACCGATGCCTGCCTCCTGAACTCCCACAGTGAGTGGTAGCTCCCCTGTTCCCCTGAAACAGTGAAGAATACACTGAACAGGCTGTCAAAGGGGTTTTCCCTATGCCTGATGCTATTCATTAGCAAAAACAAAATAGCAAGTGTCCTTTATTACCTATAGGGACACACTGACCTGGGAGGAGGCGCGTATGCTCCATCTTTTCAAATTAGTGATGAGGTTTAAAATAAAAGCTGGGATGGGGAAAAGAGACAAGGGCAAGCCTCATATTTGAGTTAAAAGAATCAACTATAATGCTACAATCTGTGCAAGTCCTACAAACACAGGATAGGGAAGAACTTGCTGGGAAGCAATTCTGTAGGAGAGAACCTAAAGCAACACCACCAGCCAGGAGATAACGCCATGCTGTTGCTAGGAGGAGTATAACCTTGAAATAGGAAGATAACCTGCAAAATCCTTGGACTCACTAAACACAGGTCGTGTACAATGCCAGAGGCCTGAGGCTAGTGGGGGATCATTACTATTAAGGACAAACCTTCAGAAAAGCAAGTCTCTGCTGTGCCACAAAACTGTACAGCTAGCCACTCAAAAGTAAGTTGTTTATTAAGAGAAAAGTTATACACTCAGCAAATTATTTTGCTTGCATTGTGGTGAGTTTTAATATCAGTCAAGGTCCTAAAATACTAACTACCCAGCTTAATCATATGCAGCTAGTAGATCTGATCCACAACATACAGGCTAGGAAAGGGAAACACAGTCAGCAAAAATAGTGCACCACCATGCTAGATACCTCAGCATTTACTGCTGTTTGGAGGGCTTGATCCATCCAGTTAGAAAGTGTTTGCCTTTGTGCAACTGAGGGCTGCATTTAGATTTCAAAACCACTAACATATTTGTGGAATTTGGATCTGCACCCATGGCTATTACAGCATATGCTATTTGCAATTGAAGTCATTTTTGGTGGTGCTCCAGAGAAAGGTAAGATCCAAAAATCTTTTCATGCGTGTGTAAAAAAAAAAAGTTCCAAATCAATTGACAAAAGACAGAAAACAACAGATGAATCATGGTGGCCACAAAAGCAAACAAAACCAGTGCTTTGCAAGATGTACGCCTAAATACTTAAAGCTATGAATGCAGAACAAGTTAGGGCTCAAGGCAAACACAATGAACTCATCATGTCTAGAGTATATATCTATCCCCACTCCCATGCTTTTAGAGATATTGCTCCACAACTCCATATGGAAGAAGGGTTCTGGGAATGGAGACAAGGTGAAATTCAATCATATACAGTCCAGCTGTTGCTGACATTCATCATTTTAAGGAAAGTGCAACAGTTTAGAAAATATATAAACAAGATGTTCTGGAAGCATAATTTCCTGAGGTACAGAAATTTAGCAGCTAAATACCCATGACCTGTGCAGGGATGAGACAGAGAGGGAATTGTTATTCACATTATTTAGAAGAAGAGAAAATATGGCATTTATTATAAGCAGTGATGCTGAACAAAAAATTATAGCAGGTGACAAGAGGCCTGTTCATATTAAATTCAGGATGTTTGATTGAGAAGTCATTTAAGACTGCTGCTTAACTATTACAAGCAAATTCAACATTTTTTTTATTTTAATGGAATTATCTTTTTCACCTGGGAGGATAAGTCAAAGTTAAGACTACATGAGGCACAAACATACCTAAAACTATGAATCAAATACACATCAGAATTAAGTAAGAACTGTTACTCCAATCACGCTTGAAGGAAAAAAAAAAAATCTAATGCAATCTAAAATCTAGCTTCTAATGCTAGAAGTCCAGAAAAACAGCATGGCAAGATTTATTCCAGATTTCTACCTTAGCTGAACAGAACATGTCTTTGGTGAAGGAATTTATTTTTAAGGCAATTTCTTTTTACCTGGATGCCAGAGCCTGAGCAAAAGGAAGCGAGCGAGCATGCACTCACATGCTCCTAACTGAGAGCTATTCCTGTTGCAGTGGTCAATGGCTGCATCACACCCTGAACAACCTCCTTCATCATCTTTGTTGTACAGATTAAGAAATACACGCACTACTATTGCAGCCATGCCATAACAGAGCTGTTTGGGAAGGCTCAGCAGATGATCAATCTGCCCTCTTTTCTGCAAGGAAAACATGGTGTCATGGAAGTACTGGCCTTCTCCCTTATGCTCAAGGGGCAACACCTTGGATATCAATCTCACCCCTTTGCATGGCCATCTATACAATTTGCATTTTCTGGAGCACAGCTAAACCTAAGCATAAATCAGCAGGGTTTGGTGAAGTCTAGCAGAAGATAGAGCGAAAGAGAACTTGAGAGCACAGATGAAAGCATGCCATGAGAACTATTAAACTAGCACTGCGCAGAGAGAAAGATTCCCAAGTAGAGAGCTTCTCCTTTTATTGACCTCTGAACATGTTTAAAACAGGCAGGTTAAAATCACCCATTAACTTCCTGAAACAGCAAACCCCCTCAAAGGCATTTCCCTTCTTCCACTTCACTGGAACAAATTAAAAGCTAGGCTCCCTCTCCTGCTGCCTTCTTGGTGGTGGTGGTTATGAAAGAAGCTTAACTTAGGAGAGAAGCATCCTCTCTCTTGACTCTGCCATAGGTGCATTGCATACATCAGTTTAACTTCCCACTCTCCAGCAGACAACAGCCCTTACCTGTTTCAGGGGGCGTGGGAAGAAGGGGCATGCCACCATTTAAAGCTCTCCATAGGCTTCTTGCTGGTTGTGGCTCTGACTAAATAGACACTTGATTAATCAAGAAATAGAGAATTGTTTCTGCACCTGGCTACAGGACAGTGGCTAAAATGTAATGGGAGATGAGAAAACCACAGTGGAGTGGGAAGAGCCCATGGGGACCTCTAGCCCAGCTGAGCTCTCCTCCTGCTGAGCAGCATAATTCTGCTGGATTCAATGGAGCAAGGGCAGCTGGGGCGTTCACTCCGGGTGACGGATCTGGAGTCTGGTCTTAAGCCAAATTGAATCCATCCTGCAAGAAAGCAAGGGCTAGTTCAGGACATTTAGCTCAGTTAATGATGAGTAGCAAAAGGACAATAAGATATTATGTGTTTTAATGACTGATTTGTTCAACAACATTGAATTTCCCAACTTGAATTTGGCCAACGAAGTTGAATGTGCAAACTTTATCCCTAGTGCAAACCCTTTGATGTCAGTAGAGTTACAGCAGGCATGAGCTGGATATAATATCCATAATCCGTTGTTAAAAACCAAGTGTTATTGTTCTGCACAAATCCCAGCCAGATGACAGTTATTGTCTGCCTCTGCAAAAAGTAGCTTGAGATGTGCAGTGCAACATTTCAAATAAGGATTGCAAGATTTAATAATGCCAGAAGCTAAATGCCCCCTCTTCTCCCCAGTTAATCCCATTATTCCTAGGGGATCCTGTTACACGCTCAGAGAGAAGGTTGCAACATGGCCCTCTAATATGGGATGAGTCCAACTTCTCTTTGCACTGTATCTTAAAACAAATGAGGGCGGGGAGGGCAGAGTTGGAGGATGTCGGCTTATGGCATGGATTCTGTGGTACAAAAGATCTGGTTATAACTTCTTTGCCCACCCCATGACAGGGGCACGCACCACGACTGCCTCTGTGAACGCTGCTTTCCCAGGCCGTGGTCCAGCAGCCACCCAGGAATCCGAGCCTCCGTGCTGGGACGGTGCATCTCGGCTGCCCCCCACAAGAGGCTGATGCAACACGCTGTTATCGAGACCACTGCAGTCAGCCCACACAGCGCAGACGTGCTTCAGGCACTACTCAAATGCAGTATAGCATGGGGGGGGTTCAGAGTGCCACTTAACCCATTTACAGCTACTGCCAAGAGACGAGGGTCTGAGCCTGCAAACAGAACCAAATAGCAACACAGCTTTTGTTTCCTGACTCAAGTTTAACATTCAATTTGTTTGCTACAAATAATCACATAGTAAATTCAAATCTGCTTTCATTAGAGCAATTTTACATTAATTAAATCATTTCACATGACTGATTTATCTGCAACAAACAGTCATTTTATTGTCAGTGCACCCGCATTTATCATAACCTCCGTGCGTGGTGAAACAAAGGCTAACAATGTGGAATATATATTGCACATGTAAAAGAGATAATATACCTGCATCCTCATGGGAACAAGTACATGAGAACACCATGCAGATTAGGTCCAAGGTCAATGGTTGGGGCTTGTCCAGGTTTTTTCTGAGACACCTTCTAAAGCTACTTGCTGATCTAGGAGGACTCTTTTGAAGTGCAGATAAGACAGAGAAGCAGGGAAGAAAATTCAGTGTGTTCTTACTCGCCACCTCCTTCTCTCAGACAGAGTTAGATATAAAACAGTAGAGCCAGCCTGTACAAGCAGGAGCCTGGAATTTGTCCTGCTTTCTGTGCCCCCAATAAAAAAACCTTGGGCAATATTTAATGGCAGCCTCCATACCTGTGCTCAGCCCCATCTTCAGTTTCGGACTGCAGGTGGGGCTGAGCATTTTCCAAGACAGAAGGCTCCATCTGAGTGGAAAAAAAAAAAAAAATGGACCTAAGAGCAATTTTACAGAAATCAGGTTCAGAATAGCAAGTCTCCTGTCCCCCATCCAATTTCTGGCCAAATATAGATTGAATTTCAAAATATTTAGTAATTCAGAATCAAATCCAACATCAAGGCCATCTCTTTTTGGTTGGTTTTTTGTTTGTTTTTCTCCCTCCTGGTACAGTTCAAACCATAAATATAATTTCTTTTTCTTTTAGTTGTAGAGTGCTGGTAGCTTAGTAGAGTTTTCAGACAAAAAAAAAAAGTGGTTCTAGTTCCAAGAATTTTTTCAGAACATATAGTTCCTTGGCTTCTGTTATCCGGGGTGTGCATTAGGGTGAGGCTCTGGATTTCCCCAGTACCTACCACTATGTTGCAGTAAGACCTACTGCAAATTACCAAAGCATGGATTTTCGAAACACCTTTTGGACTTAGCCCTATTCGTGGTATTTCTCAAAGTGAAATTGTGCTCCTGACTCCTTTTTGTTCCTCTGAAAATCTCAGATCTGGATTATTTGGATCTGAAGTGGGGACGATAATACAGCACACGTATCCCACAAGGTTGGTGAGAAGGCTAATGATAGTGCAGCACATTGGGAAAAAAAAGTCTAGTGAAAATGCAAATTAGCATTATCTTTTAGCAGGGGTGCAAAGCATTTCTCCATATTCCCATAAAAAGTAGGACTTAATTTCCAAGAATCTCCATGGAATTAATGGAATTGACAGATAGATAGAATTTAACTTGAATAATGACATCAGTATCTCTGTAAATTCTGTGAAGCTGTATCTGAATGGGAAAACACAAATAGAAATCCCTTGATCTTCTAATTCTGCAAAACTGACATTACCTTGGAAAATCCTCTTCCTTCCCCCAAAGGTTTCAATGCCCAGTCCAAGTCTGCTGTCACCAGAGCTCTTTTCACCGCTTCCTTGGAGACTATATTTGTCCCTTTATTTCTACTGAAGACACGTCTATCTTTAGGGCTGAGCTCAGATTTCTCATGCCAGGATAATGAAAGGGGGCTGTGTCACATACATTGTGGAATTCAACACTTCTCTCAACCTGCTGGCCAGAGCAGGTTTTTACAACACATGCTCGAGCTCTCCGAGCATGTGGCTATGCCATCATCATTAGTCAGAACTGGAACGGTTGCTAAATAAATACTCTGTCACAAACAAAATGGGATTTAAGATGAAAAGCTGTGCACAAAGTACCTAGAATTAACACCCAGGGAGATGGGGGCAATCAGTCTGAGGGTTTGGGCTGGATCTAGGCTCATCATCCAGCAAGGATATTTTTGTATCACTCCCGGGTAATAGAGAAATTAAGATGCTGTAAGCACAAACAAAATAAGAAACTAGCCCTGAAAAGCTGTCCGTTCTTTCTACCCCTCCTTACATTTTACAAAGAAGTGGCATCTGAAATACTTTATTCCACCTTCAAAGGAAAAGCAGCAACATGGGATTTTTTTTTTACTGTTTTTCATTTTTTCTGAACATAAATTGTATTGTTGTTAAATTGCATTTTCTACAGCTATACAATTAGTAAAAAGAGACTACAAATATGACGGTCTAAAAAATTAAAATCTTTTAAAAATGCAGAAAATATTTCATTTCAAACTTGTGAAGATTTCCAGTGAAGAAGTGTTCTGAAATTTTAATGCTAAAGACAATACATTTTTTTTTCAGCTGCCTTAACAGGAGACAGAGCTGTCCATTAGGTGGTCAGGAGCTCAAATCTGATTCTAATCACTGATTACTTTAATAATGTCCAATTGCTGAGCCATGGTCTCCATGAAAAGACCAGAGCTGACTGCAGCAAAGTACAAGAGAGTTTGGAAATTTTTAGGCATGGCTATAATTGAGTAGAACAACAGAACATATTTTTTCCAATTAAAAATTTCTCATTGAATCACACCATTTTTGTGAAAGTTGAAGCATTTTACAATATTTGGAAGATGCAGGTTTTCAGGTTGCAGGCAGCTTCTTTATTCATATACAGAGGGAAAGGACTACAAACCTGAATTTTTCCATCTGAAAGCAATCCTTTTGATAAAATTTCCTTTAATTTCACACATAAGACCATTTAAAAAAAAAAATTAGTAAAATTCGTCTTCTTCCAGAATGGGTCAAAGACACACATTAGAAGCCTGGGAAGCAGTCATATTACAGAATTGCATTTCTCAGGCTGCTTCTATTAGTCATCACAGCAGAAAAACCAAAATCAGAGCAGAGGAAAGGAGGGAGCTACGGTCCTGGATCCCTAGAAGTTCTTCCCTGACGTTTGCTTACAGCAACATGGAAGGAGTCATGATATTACTCTTAATGAACCCTTACTGAAGATGCATACCTCACATTGAAATCTGAGGAACTCAAAATATTTCATACATTGTTTTTTCTAGTGATCACCTAATAACAGAAGGGAAGATAAACGCATTAGGGAAGGATAGTGACTATAGATGTACATGGTAGGCTATAGAAATAAAAAACATAAGGAAGCTGGCGCAAATGGCATATGCAAATAGGAGCTGTTCTTAATGCTAACGCCCATTTTCTCACACGCTTCCAACAAGGTCTGGGCAGCAGTCAGCACCCTCAGAAAGCATTACTGCCCTAAGCAAAGAAGAAAAAAGAGCTTGTGGAAAACCAGGAGGGTTCCTGTAATAGCAGCAAGCACTCCTGAGCATTGCACATTTGATATACCAAGTTTCCGGGCCCTTTGGTAGTAACCAACCTGCCAAGGCTGCTTCCCATAACACGGCCTTCAGGTATGAAGACTTGAAGCTTTGCCAGCAAGCACATCACTCCCAAAACCACATGTGAGCAAGCAGGGACAACACGGATGGCAGGCTGGGCAGGAAGGCTAAGGGCATGCCATGAGGCTGACCGCTAAGCCCAAACAAGCAATCATGGATCCTGGAATACAATTATGAGTTTTCTGTCCCCAGCCATTAAAAACCCTACTGTTCTCCAACCAGCACTGCACCAGGGCTGCCCTGCAGGGCTGCGCACACCTGCTTGCTTGGCACCAGTATCAGCACCACTTCACGCTCTGCTCCAGCATGATAAACCCCACCATTTGGCCTCCTGGAATAACTGCATCTCTCTCTCTCTCCTTTTTCCAGGCAAAGTACTAGTTCACTGTGCAATGGGAATCAGTCGATCTGCAACACTTGTCCTCGCTTTCTTAATGATCTGTGAAGATATGTCCCTCGCTGATGCAATTCAGACTGTGCGCGCTCACAGAGGGATCTGCCCCAACTCTGGCTTCCTCAAGCAGCTTTGGGAATTGGACCTCCAGTTAGGAAGGGGAAAAGGCAGGGGAGCAGAAGCCTGATAGTGCCGAGGGGGCATGTCTCCTGGCATTGGACTGAGAGGTGCTGCCCTCACTAAAGACAGTGCAAGGATGCTGTCAGGACTGCTCTGTAGCTGCACTGAGAAACGCCTTGGGAAATGGCTGAGCGTGAGCGAGCTGGTAGGAGTTCAGTATGTATTTTTTGGATAAGCCCACTAATTGGAAAGAAAACCAAATAAAGGAGGATGCAAACTGGCAGTTTTGCCCACCCGGGCCTGTTTATTTAACTACCTGTTAGGCAGGGCATAGGGAGCAGTTGGGGTTTCATGCAGAATTAAAAGCCAGCACAGTCAACTTGAAAAAAGACTTTTTACTTGCTTATAATTGCGTGTCATGGTTTAACCACAGCTGGCAACTAAGCACCACACAGCCGCTTGCTCACTCCCCCCCGCTCTAGTGGGGTGGGGAAGAGAATTGGAAGAGTGAACAAGCTCATGGGTTGAGATAAAGACAGTTCAATAGGTAAAGCAAAAGCCACACACACAGGCAAAGCAAAACAAGGAATTCATTCACTACTTCCCACCGGCAGGCAGGCGTTCAGCCATCTCCAGGAAAGCAGGGCTCCATCATATGTAATGGTGACTCGGGAAGACAAACGCCATCACTCCAAATGCCCCCCCACCCCCGCCAGCTCCCCTCCTTACATACTGAACATGATGTCGTATGGTATGGAATATCCCTTTGTTCAGTTGGGGTCAGCTGTCCCGGCTCTGTCCCCTCCCAACTCCTTGTGCACCCCCAGCCTACTTGCTGGTGGTGTGAGAAGCAGAAAAGGCCTTGGCTCTGTGGAAGCACTACTCAACAATAACAAAAACATCTCTATTATCAACACTGTTTTCAGCACGAATCCAAAACACAGCCTTTTACTAGCCACTATGAATAAAATTAACTCTATCCCAGCCAAAACCAGCACACTGCATTTATATAGCAAGAGAGAAAAGGGCTAAACTAGTAAAAAGAACAAGAAAGCATGAGTTTTTTTAAGCAAATCTTTAACATTTGACATCCAGCTGGCACAGGGCAAGACTTCAGGTTTTGCAAGCTGACATGCTCCTTTAGCGTGAAACGGTGACACTAGTCAAGATCCAACTCAGACCTTGGGCTCTCTCTGTTACAAGCCATGGAGGCTCTTGCTGGGACCTTCACAAGTCCTTTTAGCTTCACATCTATGGAAAATACTCAGAACTTGAAAAGACCACAAAATATTGGAGGTCGCAGCCAGACACCACACCCTGGGGCATGGCTATCGACAGCCTCACTGCTGGTCGGAGGGAAGGAAGGTGTCCCCTTGCACACATAAAGCAAGGGGCACGCTCAGGGCACACTGCCCGCCAGTGCACTGCAGGGTGGCAGCAGTGCCAGACAGAAACGTCCTCCTCTTGGCTTGCAACCCGGCACTCCAAATCACATTCCCCAAATTTCCCTGTTTTAATGGAAAGCCAGAACCAAGTGTCATCATGTCAGAGCAAAAATGAGCAATGCCTCTAACAAATCCAAAGCAGCAGCTCTGCATTTTGATTACTCTTTTACGCCCAATTGGCCACATTTAATCTTGTGAAGAACTCGAAGCAGATATTTGCTTCAGTGCAATTACAGCCACATACAGAACATTGGCAAATGCAAACAATATAGAATTTCCACTTGACGGCAGATTAATTTGGTGTGATGTTTTCCCTTGAGAGGTCTTAAAGGCCTGCAGTTCTGAAAGTACCCTGCAGTTTGTATTTACAGTACTATGGATGTTGAATAGAAAGAGAGAAGCATATACTCATTCTGAACTGGTTTCCTTTGCCTCCGTACATTAAAAAAAATTAACTGAGCATAGCACACTTCCACTGCTTTTCTCATAATGCAATATGGAAACATGATTTCCCTGCAGAGCCTATAGAGAAATTCAGGTGGTAGTTCCACTTTTATAAACATAGTAAGTAAAACACAAGCAATGCTACAGACTAATTTCCTCTCAGGGAACAGAGAGACAGGTCTTCCCTCCAGAAAGGGTCCCATCCTTTGAGACTGGCGTAAGCGTCCAAAAGGGAGCTTATAGCTAATGATGGAAAAAAATCAGTGAAGTTATAGCTTTCACAGGCCTCTTACTGGCTGCCACAGCAAGGAGATTAGATTTCAGTGAGCATGGTGTTTGAACCACTCCTGGCACTTGGGTCTCCTCCACCTCGGTCTGCCTGGGGATCATTTTTTATTGCAGACCATGCCGAAGCCGTTTTGTGACTAGTCTTTTCAGTTGCCTTACTAACCACTCCCTTCACCTCTCTGTAACTCAGCCTATGCCAAGCCAAATGGCGCTATATTAAAGCACAAGGTTATATATGAAACACAACGGTCTAAAATCTCCGTGCATTGAGCCCAGCAGGACAGGTCATAATTCCCAGCGAGTTGCATGCCTGGAAACATCTGTGGTTGCAGGGCAGAACTGAAAGTGAACAACTTCTGTCAGAGTGACTGAGCCTAAATTTACCCCAGCTAAGGCTTGTTGGCCATTGCAGGACTAATTCAGCTGGCCAAGGACAGTCGTAGATTCCCCTGCCACGCGTGACTTGCGTGGGAGCAGTAAGTCCGGCTGGAGCTGCAGCCCACCAGGAAAGCCAGGGCACTGGCAAAGCAGGACTGCTGGCTGGATGTCACTGTACAGGTGTATAATGGATGCTTCCTTTTCAACCTGGAAAAACAAAACCAACCAAACAAAGAACAAAAGGTCAAAACACTGACCCAAAGACAATCACGTAGCTATCCAACCCCAGGACATAAAATTCCTTTTTCTAGAAAAGCCTGGGCTGGTTCCAGCACTTTGCATTGCTGCAAAGTTCAGGCAGTGGGAGGCAGGTCCCTCCATCTCCTCGCAGTTTCTCCACCCTCCAGCAGATGACAGTACCTGAGCCCACCACGACCTTCCCTCTACGCAAGGGATGCAGCATCATGGAGGCAGTATGGCAGGGGCACAAGTGCAGGCTCAGTAGTTGATGACAATTAAGCAGTCCTAATCTCTGACTGTGCGTTGCACACTGAGGTGGCTTATTGCCCCTGTGCTTAGTTAAGCAAAAGTCTCTTAAAATTACAGCTGGAATCAAGACACAGGAAATGAAAACAATATTGGGGGTGGGTGCAGGTATATCTTGTGCTACAATTTAAAGATCCAGAGTTGCTGACTCTTTGCAAGCTACTAGTTTGGCCTGAGAAACAAAGAACACCTTCTTTCCACCACAGCCATGCCTGCTAACAACAAGGCATTTGGTCCTGGCGTGCAGCTGTCATTTTTGCTGCTGCTGAGTCAGGCAGAGGAAGCCCCACTCTCCCCTGCAGGTGTACTGCCTCTGCAGCACCAGCTATAATCACATTTGTCCAGTGCCCTCGCTAAATATTACCTGCCAAAAGCAATGTCAGTTGAGACTGCAGGCAGGGTGGAAGTGATCAGAATGGCAGGTTCAGACATACTAATGGACAGAGCAGCATTGATGCTACCATCTTTTCCATGCCTACTCCTTCCCCAGTGCAGAGCAAACACTGAACTTTATTTACGAGCACCTATCCATTCTGTGTGCTTATGAAGAAGCAACCTCCAGCACTGCGGTGGAGCTGGTGTACTTTCCACACAGTGAGCCTGTGAAGGAGGAGGGGTATCTTAGCCCCTTTTCACAGACAAGGCACCTGGATGACTTTGCCTGAGCTGCAGCAGGATTTTGGGGAAAAGCACAACGGGATTGCTCTCCAGCTTCCAGAACTGGCAGGGAAGCATGAGAATAGTTTTCTCACATGAGATATCTTGCCTTCACCAGCTTTTCCTCCCAGGCTTTCAGCAATGATAAATACAGAGAATATTGCTGCGGGCATGTCTGCACTGTGTTATTTATCCTTTGGATTTACACTTAGGGTTTTATTTGTAGAAGGAAAGTGGGACCATAAATCTGCTCTGCAAGGAGCCAAGGGAAGGGAGGATAGAAATTTTCAACAAGTTTCATGGAAGAAGATGATGCCAATGACAGGTTTCCCATGGAAAGAAATGCCAGCCAGGATATTGCCCAGGTATGCACCATGTATAGTGGCAACAACTAAGAGTGTCAGCCTTTTTCTTGTCGGTGTATTAATTCATTCCTCCTTGCACAGGTAGCTTTGGGGTTTCTGCAGCAAGAATGGCCCTCTGATGGGAACTTCTTAATTCATAGCTTTTGCCTTTTTTCTCAAAAAAAAAAAAACAAACCCAAAAACACAGCCCAAAAAACCCACACAAACAAAAACCAACCAAAAAAACCCCCAAAAACAAACAAAAAAAAACCCCACCAAAAAACCACCAGACACCACCAAAACACAACACTTAACTAAGTGTGACCAATACTAACTTGTCAGGGTTGAGTACCAAGCCACTGGCCAAGCCTAAGTTGACCACATTCCAGAAGAACCATTCTGTTTGCGGCCTTCATGACTGATGAATGAACACGATTGCTCTTCAGACACAGCACCCTAAGTAACATGCAGCGCCTGTAGGCAAGGATGGAGGCAAGCAGTCTTACAGCAGATCCCCTGGTTCCTCATTACACTGGCCTGTTCCACTTTAGCCCATGGCTCTCAATTCTGCTTTAGCTTTGGCGCTGCTCACCAAGACCAAGTGAACTTCTTCTGCATAACCCTGATGTCTAGATCAGATCTGCCCAGCTCCTGCCAGCCCTTCCAGAATTGCAAAGCACTGTCAAGTCCACTTGCCAGACAATATTCTCCTCCAATTATTTTTTGTCTTGTATCTTCCTGATAACAAGGCTGAGCTATGTGTTACTGTGGAGAGGGGCTTCAAAATAGCTTATGCTTTGCAAATTTACTTCATAGTCTGAGGTTCAAAGAGTATATGCAGCTCCTGAAGCCAAGTCAAACAGGAATCTAGGGCCTACGAGGCTTTCAACAGTTAAGTTTTCTTTAGCCTACAATTATTTTGCTTAGAAACTAGACCCTTGATCTGTTGCAGGAGGCTGCAGTTT